ACGTTTACCAATTCGTGGGAAAAGAACACTACGTTTACCAATTCGTGGAAAAAGGACACTACGTTGTTCCATCCATCGATAATCATTTTCATTGTTAATTTCTTCATTTTCAATTGGATTCGTTTCGTAAATAGAAGAAATTTCTTCTAAGTCAGATGCTGAACGACCAATACGTGGAAATTTTGTTGTACGAATATAACGATCATAAGCTGAAGGTAAATTTAATGCATATTGTTGATCAGGAAGACTATTTTTTAAGTCATCCGAGTCTATAACATAAGCATACTAAAAGAAAAAGAAATAAAATAAATTACAAAACAAAAAAAACAATTTTTTTCTTACACTTGATGTAATGAATACTATCATTAAAACATAATAACAACTAATAATAATTGTTGATGAAGGTGAAATACACATTATTGATTAAATACTCAATGGATTAGGTTTTTCTATATAAATCTAAATAAATATAATAGTTAACTATAAAGTATACATACATGTATGTTTATTTGTAATTGTCGATTTTTATTATATTTGTAAAAGTATTTATAGGAATCAGTTGTAACAAGTAAATATTAGGAAAAATGTGTAGGTGTAAACAATAAGTTATAGAAAATCTTAATAATGAAAAAAGAAAAGAAAAACGTTGTAGTTATATTTTTTTCAATAAACGAAGACGTCGTATGCGAAAGAGAAAGAAAATATAGATTTTAAATCGGAAAAGCTACTGATTACGTACAATTCATCATTAGTTAGATCGGAAAGTCGGCCGTACATAAACAAATTGTTGAACAGAACTTAATTTTATGTTACTGACGTAGACAAAAAAAATAATATATAATGAATTGTTTCAATTATCTACTATATTCAAATTAACATTCATGATTATTATTTGATAAAGTTATCAATCGTCTGATCAAAAGTAAAAATTAGTTGTAACAACACATGTATATAATTCTAGATCAACACATGAATTATTATGCGAATACAAGGACATTAATGTAAATCATCTGGAAATTTTATTTTTTTGCATCTGAATAATAAAAGAAAAGTTTTGATAAAAAAACACAAATTAGCAACGGAAAAATCTCATAAATACGCGATCATTTAAATGGATCAATTAATAAAGTAATGTTTTTTTAACGAGTATTTTAAGATTAATAGATGACGTCTCGATTTATATCAAACTAGATCGATCCGTTCATATAGTTCATTAATAAAACAGTTCGTTATGTAAATTATATATGTTTTATTTAAACTCTAGGTATAAAATTTAGCGGTTTGACGCAATCCAATGGAATGTATTCATCACAAAAAAAAGAAGAAAAAGGCGCGCATATATGTCATATAACAATCAATTGATCTTCAGACATAGATCATCAACGTGCAGTTATTAGAATACTTTTCATTTTATTCTATTGTGTTTTTAATAGGTAGTGTTGTATTTGAATCCTTCTCTCTTAGTTTGTTTTTTTTCTTCTTCTCTATTGATCCACTAATGAGATTCTTCGCACATTTTAATATATATGTATGAAAAACAAAACAGAAATTCTTCTCTGATCGATTTAAATCATACAGTTATGTTCAATCTTGGCTTTACAATCGAAGAATTAATGTTTCCAGAAAATTATCAATCAAATATTCTTTTCAATAAAGAATCTGATTGTCTTGTAAGAGAATACAAAAATTTTATTTTCATTATTATCTTCTATGATCATGTAGGTCGATAAATTTGATGAAATATCATCAACATATGAAAATCAAGAACAAATTCTTACAGATGAAGATGATTGGTTTACAATTAGACAACTTAATCCAAGTATTTATATTATCATTATTTAAAAATATATAATTCTCTTTTTATTTATTAGACCTTTCATCAAGTGATCATAATATTAATCTTTTAAATGATCAGACATTATCATTAACAGATGTTCATTCGAATAATTGTAACATTGGTCAAGTTGAATTAGATAGTACTATTACTGCATTATTTTTACCAAATCTGTAAGTTATGATAGATATAATTTTCAAAGAAAAAGAAAATATTTTCATTACAGATCGATCAAAGTTTCTCGTGATAAAAATAATAGTTCAACCCTATCAACTACTTCTCCACCTTCTTGTGATCAATTGTAAAAAAGAACAAGAATTTAATTATTATATATATACATTTTATATTTTTAATAGATTATTAAATTCTACGAATACAATGACTCAATATCAATCGAGAAAACAAATGATGTCTAAATCAACTTCATCTCTATCTTTTTCTACACAATCATCAACATCAATGGTAAGTAGTAGTATGGATGATATGAGTCCAAATTCAAATGATTTAAATGAAATAGCAATTATACATCATTCAACTGAATCTATTCCAAAGTTATCTTATCATCATAAAACTAGTCATAGTATAAATGATGATTCATCAAATTTTAGTAGTGGTAGACGTCGTCGTAAACGAACTATTTTTAGTGCAGCTGATATTGAATATCTTAAAGAAGCATTTATTCAAAATCCTAAACCAAGCCGTAAATATCGTCATAAATAATAGATACGATTAGAAATAATTTGTTTTTTCTTTGTTTTCAGAACAAGATATTGCTATTTTATCTGAACAATTAGGTCACGATTCGTATGTAATTCGTGTATGGTTCTACAATAAACGTCAAGCAACAAAGAAAACGAAATAACTTAGATAATATTAAATATAAATGATTTCTATTAATGTGATTTTTATTCCAGTTTCAAAATAAAATTTATTCATCAATTCTTTGACTACTCAGTTTTGTAAATAAATAGAGCGATGCAAATAGTTGATCTGTCATCAACTATTGCTTCCATATACTAGGCTATTCGGTGTATATTTTTAATGAAATAAGTAAACTATTAATAATAATTACGAAGATATTGAAAAGATATTTATTTATTAATTGACTTCGACTATAAACCGAATGGATGCTAGAGTAAATTTTATTTATAATTTGTATTATAATATTAATTATGATTTATTTCAATAGACGGAGTTGATGTGAGTGAAAGTTCTTGATTTATATCAGATTTTTCAGAAGAATCAAATTGACTATGTAAAGTTTGTTCAACGATTGTTAACAGATCATTTGCCTTTAAATAAATAACAGATTAAATTGTTATTAGTTTTGTATTTCATATACTTACATTAGCAGATGAAGAGAGATTTCCTAAATGATAAATCCATACTGTACCATTACTCGTTCCAACTGCGATACACTATAACAAGAAAAGTAATTATTTGTATTTATTCCTCTCTTTCGTCAAACTTACATCAGAATCTATTGCATAAGCAATTGATGTTAATGTTAGTTGATGTGGAGAATTAGCAACATAAATTGGATCAAGTCTAGCATTAATTAATAGAAGAAAAAGAAGAAAAAAAGAATAAACATTATACAAGCTTTTAGATAAATCCCATATTTCAATTGTATTTTCAGTAACACAATAAAACATAGTAGATGATTTAGGTGACCAAATAGCATCGAAAAATATTTTTGAATTTGTTGATGAAAATGTCATACATGATTGATTATATCCAATCATCCATAATCGAATTGTCCAATCTGCACTAGCACTTAAAAAGATATTTTCAACAAATGGTGACCAGTGAACTTTATAAACTGGCCCTATATGACCTATATAAGATTCCAAATATTTTTCATTATATATCATTGAACAACGATGTATAACACCTTCATCGGTACCACATAAATAACTAAAAATCTCATATTGATTTTATTTAGATTATATAATAAAATCAGAACTAACATAGTTTTATCGTTCGCTCGAATATCAAAACAAAGACCACCTACAGAATTTGAAAAATTTCCATCATTATTATTCAATATTTGACATGCCATTTGTAATGAATGATAAGGTTTTAAATGCATTAAATCTAAATATTGCTCATGAATACAAAGATTTAATCAGAATTAAAATTTACCAGTTGCTTCAAATTCTTTTCGAAGTGTCCATCGTATAATACGACCATCAGATGAAATCGATATTAATATTTCAGAATTATCTATTTCAGATGAACGATCTCGTTCATTCCATTCTATTTGCCAAACAGGATTCGTATGTTTTTTATCATATTTACTAAAAATGCATCGAATTTTTATTAAATTTCTTTTCTCGATGTTATACTTTGTATCAACAATCGGAAATGTATTATTTTCATTGAGATCAAATACACATATATTTCCATTGAATAAACCAACCTAATTATAAAGATGAAATTTTTCTTCGAAACTAAAATTTCTATTCTATTTCTACAGCTAATAAATTTGGATGTTTAATTGAGAATGATAATGATGTTACACTTGCATTTGTTTGATAATGACGTTCAGGAAACTTGAATAATGAATTTTTTATCGTTAAAAGGAGAAAAATAATGAAAAGTATACTTCTAGATTTTTTGCATTCCAACAACAAACAAGACCTATAAACATATAAGATAGTAGAATAGAAAATAATAGGATGATGTTAATCAGACCTTGTTTATCATCATTATATTGAAAATATCCATAACCTACAGCTAATAAATTCTAAAATATAAAATAATTTAATGAATCTTTATGTTATTTTATCGTACATGATTTTGTTTATTCCAACATAAACAAGAAACATTTCGATCATGTGTTAAATAACTCGTATATTGCCATAAACGTTCAAGCTTAAGATTGGTGTTCATAATCAAAAATGAATCTTTTCTATCTTGAAGATATTCACTTCCATAATCTTTAATAGTCGAAATATGATCAATTAAGATTAATTTTACATAAGAAAATTATTAAATAAACAATACATACTGTCCTGATGATCAAAGCCTTGATAAACAGTATGTTTTTGATGATATATATTCAAATTAAGAATACGTTCCATAATGAATGCATCTACATCAATATCAGGTAACTTTGACAACAAAAAAATGAAATAACATAGAAATAATTTATTCGTTGATTATACTTTATTTTTATTATTATCATTTAATTCAAAACAATTTGTTTTCGATGGAGTCATTTTTACTAATGATTCTTGTGAAATCAATGTCGATGAATCTGAAATCTCATATACCATTGACAAAATGAAAACATACATATATCTATTTATTTACTTTGTGATGATTGAGTAGAAACTATTGTTTGTTTCGTATTACTATTATGATTTACATCAAATTTAATTCTATTATCATTCAAATTTTCATTATTATGTATTACATATTGACGATAGACTAATAAAAACTAAAGTATATTTATACAGGATTTATATAAATATATACATTACCTTTTCCTTCATATTGACTAGATTCGATCGTAGAATCATGTATATCCCACGTATTAGCCCATGATGCTTGTGACTATAAATAAATAAAAATAAAATATTGAATAATTCAACCTAATACATACCCGTATGAAAATAGAATCAGTAACAGTATGTTCATGTTTAGGTGGATTATTAAATGTTTGCATACCACGCTCAATATATAAATCATTACCTCGTTGATTTTTACATAACTAAAATATAGAATAAATTTAATTTTAAGATAAGAAAGAAATCTCTTACATTCATATAAATCTTATTTCTTTCATCTATCCTATTATATTCTTCATGATCGTTTTGTGTAACAACAATACTATTTAGATTTAAAATAAACATTGTTTCAGTTTCACTTAATACAATAGTATCGGCTAATACATCATTTATACATTGTAGACCAAAGCCTATATATATATTCATCATAGATCAATGTGATTTGTTTTTTGATGAAACTATATTTACCAGGTAAAAATGTTGCTTGAAATTCTTGATTCTCATTATTGTGATGAGATGTACGTTCATTCTGTGTTTTATTAAATAAATGTTCACTTTCTAATATAATTCTAGTACCAATATCAAGTGTTGTTTTTTCTCTACAATGTTTCAATTGATTACATTTAATCTTCTCAATAAAGAAAAAAAAAGAGTATTCACCCAATGGAGAATAAAGTATTAGTACGACCTATATTTGATGTTGCCGTAGTTAGATTCATAGTACTAACAATACTTTTATCTGACATTGACTTTTCTTGATTTTCTATAACTCGTGTATTTCCTGTTTCTGTTATTGGTTTTTCTTCTTCATTATGTTTTTTAATATTCAATCGAATATAATCAGTAATTCGTCGAGGTGTAACATCATTACCTTTATCATCTAAGACCTTTTGAAAAAAAAAGAAGATAGATATATGTTCAAAGTTTAAAATATTATTACTCGAAATCGATCACAATTAGTAGTATTTTCTCGTGATATTTCTTTCAACAATTTTCCTGAATGATTACTTTTGATACTCGATGAAAACTGATGACTCTTCTCTATCGATTGCCTATTTGCAGTAGACGATCCATGTAATGTCGAAGAAAGTTTTGATCGACGACGATTACGACCACAAGACATCTAGAATGAAGATCATTCATAAAATTTAATTTAATTATATAGAAAATTCATTGATTAAGAATTGATCTGTCGTTGAAAACTAAAATATATTTTTAATATCAAATGGGCTATGAATCTAATTTAACTTTATTTATATAAACAAGTGTTTCATAGATCAGCATAAGATTAATTATCTACTACTCAATCTGTATTATCATTGGCTTTGTTAAAGTATTATTCAGTTCAAATCTGAACGATTCTTTTTTATTATAACACAGTAGTAGCATCATTCATTAATTCTACGTTTCTTTTTTTTGTGAAACCGAACTTTAAATATATGAAACGCTTGTGAATAGAGTTATACGTCATGTAACATAATCTTTGTTTCATTCGGTTTTAAATCCAACTTGTACGATATATGATATTTTGTTGACAGGATTTTTTCAAGGTATCAAGTGGTTTTCTTACTAAAAGTACGCATTTATAAAACAGAGAATTGTCAATATTGATAATAGATGCTTTTTCTCCATATTAATATTTTACTACAATGAATACAACAAATTAACTAAGATTTTCATGTGTATGATAATGTCTTGAAGTGTTTGTATTTGGTTGATTGAATAAGATTTCAATAAGGATTGTAACAAGAAAAAAACTGAACATATTCGAATACATTAGACACGTTCAACAAACCAAGAACAAATAGATGTGAATTTTCATTTTCTGAAAACGTTGAAATTAGATTTGTATGAACACATTTAAAGAAGAGCAAATTATATTTTTCACAAACTGTGTTTTTCTCAATTTTTAATCGTTTCGTAAAATTCAATAGTTTTAACATAATTAAACAATGACTTGTTATGTATACTATTTCTAAAAAATATCGATTGTTGCTGTGATACTTCAGTATCTTCAAAACACTGTAGACTGAAATCACAAACAAATTGGGCATTTGATGTTATTACACTTCTTTTCATAGAATTAAATATTTTTTGTAATTTAAAGTTTTCTCTGTATAGTATAAAAGATTTGAATAGTATATCATCATCTATTATTTAACAATACTATATTAAGCATTTAATATTGTACCAATATAGGAATTAAAGATAGAACTCGCGCGCGCAGATTAGCCATGATCATAGTTCAGGATTACTGTGAGCCTTCACAATGGTTAAGAATATTTATACTTAGAAAATTAAGCAAAATAAATTCATATTTTACAATAATTCTATGTAAAATAATTAATCATTAAAAATACAAGCGACATATATCTCTAATAATATTCTATTGGTTCAAAGCTTATAGACCAATCAATAAAAACTATTCTTATATTGCATTTATTTTTTTTTGTTTATTTATATTTTTTATTTGAATGTCAAATATATCTTCACATATGTATACATACATATATATATGTATATATAATTCAGGTGTCGATGATTTTCATTTATGTTAAAACTATCTCTTAGCAATACCTATCACCACCTTGTACTGTCATACATTCTAGTTATTCGAAGGTTATTTCTTTCGTCAAGGACTTTTTACCACTGTCGATCTTGCACTTATATATGTGTATATAACTGACCTTGACGATATAAACATCGACTCTTTCTTTCTGAAAATACTTTTGTCTTCTTTTTCAGCATATTTGATTTGATTGAAGATGATGGTTGAACAAAAATGATACAAACTACATTTGTCAACAATGTACATTTACTAAATCAAACATCTGATCTACAATATTTATCTTGATATTCTATGTAAGTTCAATTATATGTACATACATCAAACGAGAGGAAGAGAGAGAGAAAAAAAATTACACTCGTTGTACGAATGTGTTATCTTTTGGTTTCGTTTTTTTTTTTTTTTGATAATAAATGAGAATCGATGGAGCATAACTTGTACAGACCTAATTTATATGAATGAAAGAAAAAGGAATGTTAACTGTACGTCATTGCCTTTATATTAGGAAGAGAAAAAAAAATAATAATGAATAAGAAATGAAAACAAAAAGAATGATAAAAACACTGATTGCCTTTTTTTTCTTATCTATCTGTTTTAGAATCGAAATATTCAATTGAAATGATAATTTTAACAAAATGAATAAATGTAAAATTCAACAAACGAATTATTTACGATCAAATTCAACAAGAAAAAATTGTTCATCAGAATCAAATAATGAATCAGACGAACCTATTGATGATACTAATATTATTATGAAAACACCTCAAACTTTAGTCGATTTACTTGATGTTGATGATAATGATTATCAAAATGAAGAAGATAGAGTAGAAACTGAGAATGATGATGATGACGACGACGACGATGATGATGATTCTACACAATATAGTATTGATGATCCAAATACAACAGAAACAACAAGACAAAAGAAATCTAACAAGAAAAATGGTAAGCTTCAACAGCTCGTTAAGTAATGAATGTATGCGATTATGTAAACTCTATGCATAGAGAGATCATCTTTGCGATGCTCAATGCCAATATATATACATTGTTGTCTATTCTTCTATTAATATATATATGTAGATAGATATATATGTGTGTGTGCGTGGATATGTTGAATAAGTTTTGTATCGTTTAATCTCTATTCATTCATTCATCTACCAATCAGCATGCACGCCTGTCTCAAGTGTTTCACTTAACTATTCTCTTGAGTATGTCTGACCATCTGTACATGCCCTTCATATATAAGGTTACGCATACAGTGATCGAACAATCGTCTGGCCACTATGTGTTCTACTGACCGACCCACTGCATTCACGTCGGTATCTTTTTGTCTTCCTATCAAGTCGCCAACAGAGTGCGTTGTCCAGTCGATGGTCAGACAGACAGACAGACATACACACATACATACACACACACATACAGACAGACTTTTAACGACAAAGAACAAATGAATGACCTAGATGTCTTCGGTCAATGTTGTCATGAGAAAAAAATAAAACGGATAACGAAAAAAGTCATTCATGAAAGCAAACATTATAGGACAATGTCAATCTTGACCATTTTATAGATTGTAGTAAAAACAATTCAGTTTCTTCGTTTTTTTTGTACATACGCTTTTTGTAAATGAAGAAAGAGAAAGGAAAAGAAAGAAATAATGTAAAAAAGTCGATTTGTTCAGAAGAAGTAAATATCAGCAGAAGGCAAAGTAACAAAAGTAACCATCACATAATTGCAAATATATGTGTATATAGGCAAAAAAGGAAATTACTCTCTTTCTCTCTCCCTCCGTGTTCGAAGCGAACAGTAATTTTCTTTTTTTTTTGACGGTGACGTTGATGTAAAGTGCGAGCTTGTTAGTTTGCATATGTGCAAGCAGCTCATCTTTTTCTTTCGATGACGTCGTCATCTTACGATGAACACATATGTATACATACAAAAGAGAAGAGAGAAGGGAGAGAGAGAGCAAAGAAAAAAACGAAAGAAGTAAAATAAGGCGGTAAAACAATGGTGGTAGTTGCGCGTATTGCGCTCTTTCTTCCTCTCTTTCTCTCATCTGTACTGCTGTTACTGCTGCAATATGTACATGGTCATCGGTTCATGGGCGTCATTGCACATTCATACACACAAAGGAAAAAGAAAGAAAAAAAGAAAGCAAAAAAAAGAGAGAAAAAGAATCGACGAACGAGCGATAATGGCGGCGGTAGTGGTGCAAAGAAGAAAGAAAAAAGAATAAGCAAAATAGTTTGTGCAGCACACTCTGCTACTGACAACGTCGACTACTACCATCACCGCGATACACATGCACACGTACTACTACAATACATATGCTGCGTTGGCGTCATTGGACGAGTAACATCCGCAACACACCATCACAGAAGAAATATTGGGTGCGCTGAGCATAACGTACAAATGTTACGCAGCATTTATCCTTCGATATCAACCACTAACTGAGAACGAGAAAGCCGAGAGTACAAGAGAGAAAGAGAGAGAAAGAAAAAAGAAGACGAGTACACGCTGATTTTCAACCATTACATTTGACCCTAACAACAACAACCAAAGATCACTGCCTCACAGTTCGCTCCCCGGATGGGTAAGATTTTCAATTTATTTCTTTTTCTAACTTTCTTACACTAAATCTATTGAAATTTTTGGCTTCTTTATGTATATTTGTCATTAAAAAAATTGCATCATTTTATACTATCATTATCATCAGGTGTTCACATATACATTGTTCTAGAACTGATTTTGATGAGTAGAATATCCTTGTGAATGTAGTCGCATTTAACTAAGTAGATGTCCTTGTCATTAGTCGGGCTTGAGTCCGGACTGAAACTTTGGCTCGACTCGATTAAAATGCGAAATGGTTAATGAATGCGAGCGAACGCCTGCGTGCGACACATATCCATCGAGAAATATACGGTGCTTTGTTTGTCCAAACGATTAACGATGTTGCGCAAGGACACTATGCACAATTCGGTCGAATTTCAATCGTCATCATCATCACCATCATCATCATCATCATCATAATCATCAAACGACTATTTAGAAAGAAGAAAAAGAAGAAGAGAAGAAAGGGATGTTCATCATGTACATGTACATGTACATGTTCGTATTACGTCTTTGCGCTGTTGAGAAAAAGAACGTATACATATTCGTGCATGGACACAAAGCACAGAAATAGTAACAATGTTGCGTCTTTCTCTATTCCTCACGTTCCTCGTCATCATCGACTTGTATGAGTACGAGGATATGTGCAGAAGTAGTTGTAGTTATTGTAATAATAGTAATGTTGGTGATGTGTGGTGGCGGCGAGTGCACAGAACAAGAAGAAAAAAGGTCAGAAAAGGCTACAAGCCAAAAGCGGCCACGTCCGGACTCGATGTGTGAGCGAACTCTCATGTCGCCGTCGCCGCCACCACCGTCGTCGTCGTCGTCGTCATCATCATAATTATAACAAAAGCTTTCTTTTTCATTTCTTGTTCATAAAGATTTTTGTTCATTCATGTGTACGCACAGCTGTTGACTTTGGTCGTTTACGCAACTTTCGGCCCACTCCATATATTTATATATATATATATATATACATACACATACGTTTATTTTCTCTACCTCATCTATCTTATATTTTGAATGAATATGCACACACGCGTCTCGCAAAGGAAGCGATTTATTATGATCGCTAGTGTACAAAAAATGATGTAGTGCGTGTATGTGTGTACATATGTCGTGCAATTAACTAGTAGTTTGATTGTTTTTATCACTGAATTAAAGCAAAAAAAAAATAATAATAGAAGGAGAGTTTAGTGACAAGAGAAAAAACGAGAATAAGACAGATAATTCTTAAGTAATCAAATGGCATAGCTCTTACATGTGTGTACGTTTATGTATATTGATTTAGAAAAATGATCGTTTTTTTTCCTACAATTATCAACACGTAAAAGAAAAAAAAGAGAAAAGAAATCTTATTCATGTATTTGTAATAAAGATCAAGGGAAATAAATAAATAAATTATAAAAATAATTTTTTTTTCTTCTGCTTAGGTCCAGGTGTCCTGGATGTTCCATCGCCGGACGTCGGACTTGATGTTAAATTTGGTTTTAATGATTTATGTCCAGTCTGTGGTGATAAAGTCAGTGGTTTTCATTATGGCCTCTTGACATGTGAATCGTGCAAAGGTTAATATTGATTTTTTGAACCGGAAGAATACAAAATATATATATATTTTTTTTTAAAATTAATTAGGATTCTTTAAACGAACAGTACAAAATAAGAAAAATTATCAATGTATTGACAAGCAACAATGTCAAATAGATAAAACTCAACGAAAACGTTGTGCTTTTTGTCGTTTTAAAAAATGTTTACAAGTTGGCATGAAATTAGAAGCTGTTCGAGAAAATCGTGTACGAGGTGGAAGAAATAAATTTGGTCCATTATATCGTCGTAGTAGAGCATTACGGCAACAAATAATGAGACAACATTTTGTTAGTATGGTTAAAGCACAACAAAATATTATGCCAAATGGAAATGGTATGGATAATGGGCAATCACCCATAGATATAACTGGTGTAACAAATGGTAATGTTATGCAAGTTAAATCTGAACCCGAACAACCAAATCTTCATCCATTTCAACATATTTATTCGAGTTTACAACAAACACCAACAAATGTTGGTCATCCTTCACATGTACATCATCAAAATCATCATCCACATCATCCATCCTCGACGCATCATCAACATCATTATCAGTCATCACATCAACAACAAAAATCTTTATCTACAACAGCATCATCACCATCATCATCATTTAATGTTTATCCAGATTTTTTTAATACAAATCCAAATGTTACAAATAATACACGTATGCCATCATTTCAATTAAATCCATTTAATCCATATTATAAAAATTCATCAACAACATATGGACATTCACCACCATCATTACTTTTACCACCAACATCATCATTACCAACTGGTGTTTCATCAACAAATACATCAACTAGTAACAGTAATCCACCCTCAGGTTCATCAAATTCGAGTTCATCACCAGTTGGACAATTATCATCAAAATTACTTGACTATCAAATATCATCACCAACAACAACAGTCACAAATACAAATAATAATTCAACATCAAATACATCATCCATATTAAGTACATTAACTATGCAACAACAATCAATTACTTCTAATGATTCAATGAATACAGATAATCATAATGGTACATCATCAGTTTATTTTTATAATCATCAATATTTAGGACAAAATTATGAGATGAACGATACTAATGGTATACCAGAAATCTTAACAAAACTTATTGAATCAGATCAAGCTTATCGAGTATGAATATATCATATTAGTATTTCATATATATATATATATTATTTTTATTTATAGTGTACGGAAGTACGATATATTGAAGATATTCAACAAATTCATATTGATCTAACACGTGAAGATGGTGATATATTAGTTGTATGTTCACTATTGGATAAATTATGTTTTCTTATGGTTGATTGGGTAAGTTTTGAAAATGAAATAAAAATTTTATTTTTTATAAAATATTTATTTTTTCTGATTTAGGCTCGACAATCTTTATATTTTAAAGATATTCAAGTATGTAGTTATTTTTCACATGAAAAAAAATTAGAAAAAATTTATTTTATATTAATATAGATTGATAATCAGATAAAATTATTAAAAGCAGCATGGATTGAAATTTTAATTATCGATCTTATTTGGAAACAATGTCAACAACCAAAAGAAACTTGTGTAAATTGTATTGTTAGTGTAAGTTGAAATTTAATTTTAATTAAAAAATTTGATTCTATTTTTCAATTATTTTATCTTTTTAGGCAAATGGTCAATTATTAAATATAAATTTAATTCAAAATCCAGCTGTTAAAAAATTAGCTGAAAGATATTTACAGTGTGTTAATGATTTTCGACAACTACAGTGGCAAGTATGTATCATTACTTAAAAAAAAGAATTTCATCGATATTAATTTCAATTTTTTGTTTAGTATCCGGAATATCTTGCACTTAAATATCTAGTACTCTTTGATCCAGGTTAGTACTTTATATATTTATTATTGTATTGTTTTCTTGTTGTCAGAATTTAATAGGATAAGAAGGTTGAAGACGAATAGATATAAATATTTTTATGAATAATAGAATTCTTGGGATATTTTGAGCGAGTTTCATTTTGAATTGAGTATCACATACTTTTTCCTTAAAAAACAATCATGAGTCATTCTATTGAATATAACTTGAGTGCAACAATGTTAGTAATATTTTTTCTTCGTATGTCAAGAAACATTACTTACTATCTCTCATGAAAATATTATTATTTTTTATGTTATTTAGATGTTCAAGGTGTTACTGAATCGAGTTTAATTGAAGAAGTTCAAGAAAAAATCACTAATGCTTTAGGTGAATATACAACAGATCATAATAATACATCATCAACATCAAATACATCTTCAACTCAACAACAAGTGCCAACAAATGAGCAAGAAAAATTTGCTTGTATTTTACTTAAACTACCCGATGTACGTCTTGTTGGCAATGATTTGAAAAAACTACTACAATTAATTGATCGTAAACATGATGGTAAACTTCTTGATGGTTGTTTACTTGGCGAAATGCTCAATGGTTTACAATCAAATAATTAATTTCAAATAAAAAAAACACTCATAAAATCATATTATATATATACACACACATATATATAGATATATACATATATATGTGTTCGTTTTTCTTTAATACTCAGGTCCGACATTATACTCTATTTCTCAGTTTTGCATGTTAATAGAGATATTTGTACAGTTTTATTTCTATTTGTTGTTACAAACAAGCACAAACCAATTTTTTTTCTCCTTTCCCTCAGTCACCTTTGAATAACAGTGTTTGTATGAAAAAAAAAATCAATAGCCATATTTGTAACGAAAATATTTCGTTTTTTTTTGAAAAACAGTGACACATTCTATCTATTAACAACCTCTTTTCTCTTTTTTTTTATCCATTTCCTTTTTTCTAAAAATTTATCTATCGATCAGAGAGTTGTGCCATTTTCTTTGTCTTTTATCCCTGCTACTACTTTGCATTATTCTTCTAAATTTTAATAGTTTTTTTTTTTGCTTTTTCGTTTGTTTTTTCATGACCGATTAATCGATCGACGACTCTACAAAACAGGCAGATGTTTGGCGAATTCATGATACTTGTGTCTTTTTTTTCGTTTTCGATAAAAGAAATAAGGAGTTACATATTTAATATATATATATATACATATATCTATAAATATTGATTATTACCTAGATGATTGGCTCGAACACGATGCTTCTAATGCAAAGTATTGAGCTATAAACTATGCACTTAATATATGTGTGTATTGTTTTTTTGTTTATCTGTGTCTGTCTGTTTTTCTCTCTCTCTTTCTCAGGAATTTATCAGTAAAATCTGTACGTTTTTCTATTACGATCTCGTATCAAACAGAGCCTCGCCTTTTTTTTGCTTTCTTTTAATTTTTGATTGTGAACACCACGTGTATTTGTCACTTGTGTGTATACAAATATTTTTTTGTGTGCGCGTTTGTTTTTTTTTTGAGAATAAGAAGAATAGAAAAAAAAGAGATAATTTTAACAGTTATCAACATATGCCGGATTTAAGCATCTCCATTGAATGTTGAATGGTTTCATCCTAAAATAAAAAACAAATTAGAATAAATTATATAGATATAGAATGACGATAGTGACAGTTTTGACAACTTATAATTGAATTGATTCTATGCTAGATTTTGACATATGGCTCGTTTTTATCGGTTACTTTCGGAAAACTGTTCTACAATGATTTAATTAAGGAAGTTGTCAGATTTCATTTAAAAAACAACAACTGTATTTAATAGAAGTTAATATTTTGCAAGAGAGTAAATGAATGATCGGTGAAAAATATGCTGTTCTATGATTAATTTAATTTTACACTTTTCAAACGAGATGAAAATGTAGTTTGGAAATGATTATTGAATTCCAATATTGATATATATAAAAGTATAATATTACGCTAAACTATATAGAATATATATCTTAAATATTTGTTTATTATTATGATGGAACTTAATCTGATATGACAGATAATTTCCATTGCTTTCATCATAATATATTTTTGTATACAGTAAACTTTGTTTATTGTAAATCGATCACATTCTTATTCTGCTATCTATAGTTTCAAATGTCATTTTATCAATAGAATGCAAATTTTAAACAAAAAATTCTTCATCTTAGAATTATCATAATATTAAACAAAATCTCTCATATCTCCTCTTCTTCTTCTGAGCAAAAAAAAGATACAACTTTTCTCTCTATATGCGCAATCATGAATATTTGAGAAGACATATTCACGTTTAATAATTAAATTGCAATAAACAGGATATATGTACGATCTTAAGAAATCTATTAGTAACTAGAAAAAAAACATATTAATGTTATTAATAATTAAAAGAAAACAAAACTATGACATTCAATATTATTCTAACTAACAATCATACATTTCAAATAATGTAATTTTTTCATTTTTAAACTTAAGTCAACTATGTTTTCTCTTTGATAGTAGTATTTTCGGGATTTATTAATATGTAACTTTTAAAAAAAAGATTTCTAACGATTTGCTCATCGGATATGAAACATTATTTCCCTGAAGATTACAGAAGCTTGAGCGAATATTTGATGCGTGATTAGTGAAGACATTTTCGTTAATAACGCCACTATTTAATAGAATAAGAGGAAACCATTAGTTATCAAGGAAGGAACATAACATTAACTCATATAGAAAAAAGTTTCACCTCCTGTTAAATAAACAAACCTGTAAACAATATCGAAGAAAATCTTCTCGATATATATGACCACTTCCATCTGTATCCCAATTCTTAACGAAAATTATATTTAAATTTTTAACATATCAAAAAAAAAAGATATATACTTTAAATATCTGATTCGTTCGTTCTTCAATCATATTAGTAATCGATGCAAAATTCATTTTAGAAACAGGTAGAATCAGTTGAAATATAGCTGCAACCATTTGTACTAATTCCTATTGAATAAAATGAATTAACAAAAACAAAATTTTTCAATGTTTTACTAGTCTTGTTAATACTCCATCTTTATTTAAATCATATAAATCAAATACCCAATTAATTCGATCTTCAATGGAACCACGAGTTAATACTGAAAGTGTGACAATAATATCTTCGAAACGAATACAACCTGTATCTGCTCGATCAATATTTCGAAAAAGAAATCCTGAATAACGAAAAGATTCTATAATTAAATACGAAATTTATTGAATTATATCATTAAAAAGAATAACGACATACCACCACTGGGAAATAATGTTGAATAGATTGATGTAAAATGAGCTTTGGTTATTTCACCTGATGGACAATCCTATTAAGATTATATTTGTTAAAAATAAACTGTTTTTTAAATGATTATACTTGTTTAAATGTTCGATATAGATGGCAAACTTCATCTTTGGAAAATTTTGTTCGTTGCATTAATTCTTTTATTGAACATGTTGGTCTTCTTGCTGGAGATTTTGCATTCGAATTTTCTATTTAGATTCAAATAGTTTAATTAATCAAAACAAAAAATATTTTTTCGATAAAGAAAAGAAATATTTTCAATTTAATTTACTTGAACTTTTCTTTACACTCAAATTGAGACGACGAGTTTTATTAAATGTTTGAATCGATGATTCGAATGCTTGCCACATTGATAAATGCTCGTTTTTCTTTTTGATTAATATTCGTATTTATATGAGTGTTTAGTAAACAGAAAAAGACTGATTGATGCTTTATGAATGTGAGTGTATTTTTGTGATCAGTGAGAGAAAAAAAACGAGAAACGGAAGGAAGAAATCTCATGAGAAATCGAAAGAGTGGTGATGATGATGATGATGGTGATAACGACATTTGTTTCGAAGGAACTTATTAAAACAATAAAATTCATTTAACGCTATTCTTACCATTATGTAATTTGTAACTCCTACGATGGCCACCTCCACCTGCTGATCGTACGGCATTCATGTGTAGAATTTGTAATTAAACTGGAAGAGAAGATAAAATTGATAAGTGATGATAAAAATAGAAATGATAGTAACAGATTTTTTTTTCAATGTTAAATAAGATTTTGTCGCTCGTTTTTCTTGTTTCGCTTTAGAAGAATCATTAGTATTTCTTTCTTTTTCTTTCTTACTAACTAATATTGAAATATGAACATGTTCTGCGCATGTCATTCCTGTCAAAGAATCCCTGACTTATTTCTTTTTTCTATTTAATAAGTTAATGATTTTATACTTAGTTGAAATTAAAGAAAAGAAAAAAAAAATTTCTAAAGGATATATTAATTAAATATATTTTTTTGTAGAGCAAGAAAAAAAAAGTAAATTATCTGACTTTTCTTTTTTTAGACTTATTTGTAAATGTATTTATTAAATTAATCTAATTATTTCGCTAGTTTCCTATATCAATTTACGGATATAAGAGCAATAGAAAAATCTTTTTAGTATTATTACGAACATTTTATCGATAAGAATAGAAATAGAAATAGAAGAAAAATAGTATGTCTACAGATAATAAATGATACCAGACAAATTAACGAAGTCAATAACAACAATTGGTTTCAATCATATTTCACTTCAATAGACGAAGGTTATAGCTAACTATTACTATTGTTATTAGGATTGATGACATGCGCCTATTCGTCCATGTCTCATATGGTACTCTGAATACTAAACGATGCGATAATTATCGAAGTTAGTAGTATTAAGAACCAACGAGAAGAATAAGAAAAAGTCTGAATAGTTTTTTTCTTCTTCTATCAAATAAATAAATTTATTGACAATGTATTAAATATATTCCATACATTTATTTTATAATATATGTATCATCACGCTAAAAAAAACACTAAAGATAATATACTATTCAAATAATTCTTTGATCTGATTCTTTCCATTTATATCCGAGCCATTTTCGTTCTTTCCATAATCTCGTATAAAAGAAAATAGAACTTGATATTAGATTATAATAATATCGAGGGTAGATATTATTAGAAAAGAGAAAAATATTCTAATCGTTTGATAATTAATAAGACGTAAACAGTTAATTAACGATTGATGTAATCATATTTTTACTAGTATGAATTAAATAATTCTAAATTTCTTGTTACCTATAGTACTTACCAAATATTTTATTTTCAAATAGATAGTACAATACAGATGCAACTAATTTATAATATTAATGATCTATAAATCAAATTGTACTGTCAAGATAAGACGATTGAAATGTCTTTATTGAATATTCTTTGGTTTTTGAGCTTGAGATCAATGAAATAATAAATATTTATTTATCGGGAAAAAATTCGTAAATATAACTGATAGCTTTTATGACATATTTTTGCTTATTATATATAGATATATTTATGATCAAATTCCATTACTAGCATACACTTATGCAGATTCAGTATTATAGGAATTCCAGTATTTAATCGTATTATTTACATAAACATATTTCCTATCGTCATTCAATATTATTCATTTTTGTTTTGTTTATTATTAATGAAAATTTTAAAAAAATAAATCTTTCTTTTTTATCACAAACATATATAGATTTTAGTATCGTTTGTCTGTTTTGATTAATAACAAATCTATTTCATTGAATCTTCTGAGACATAATTATGATTTGCATAATATTCTTTATCTGTATATTTATATTGAATAATCTATTCATCTTATATTTCTTCTCATCCAAAAAAAAAGAAGAAATTCTTAACTAATTTTTATCGTATTTGTAAACAAGTGTATATAAACGAAAAAAAATCTGTAGGACGAAGTATATTCATTATCAATGTTCTTTTATTTGAGTGGATGTAAAGTTAGTTATGTCTTTAAATGTCATGGTTGATACACAGCAGGAAAAAAACTATGTTGTTTTATCTTACAACTATAGTAAAGACAATTAGACAATTCTGAAAAGACCACAACAATCAAGCATATGGGATTTAATACTGCTAGTTACCATATTCTTTTTCTCTCTATATATAAACAAAATGACAAAAACAAACAAACAAATAAACAAAAATCGAATCAAATCTATTCAGATTAACTATACTCGTTATATGATAAGAAAATAATAATATTTTTAGTATATATTAGTTATTTCTTTAACAGTTGTTATATTGATGATAAAAAAAGCTGGTATATGCATTTAAGAAAGTGCTTTACTATACAATTAGATGGCAAAGATAAAGGTTATAGATAATAAAACTCAAAAGAAATATCATTAATGAGACTGTCATTTAATATTCAATCATCCGGAAAGAAAAACAGACTATAATCTTCCAATAAGATATTTTTCTATCGTTCATTGCTGTTTAGAAAATGCTATCATGTTCGAAGACCCAGAAGAAAATGACAGAAAAGACATGCGCAACAAATCACGTTCTAATGGAATACATGTATATATCGTTTAGTATATATCGTACCAATGAAGGGAAAAACACAATAAGTATAACATCTGTTTGACATTGAGATAGAAAGAGAGAGAGAGAAATATGGGAGTTTATCAACACGACAGTCGTAGACGACGTTTCTATCAGAAACAGACATAAGAATATAACAATAAATTGTTTATATCCTTTTTGACGATTTGATGACAGTCATTAGTAATCAAGAACATTTAGGTATGGATAAAGGTTCCAATTCATCTAGTTTGTGACAATCTGAAGAATGATGAACTTGTTGATAGAATTAGTTTGAAATATTTACTTTACACATTGTTTGATTCTGGTTAATTTATGAAAAACACGTAGAACTATTAAGACTGATTTTGACAATATACAAAAATCACAATGTACGTATTACAGATGGATAAACTGACGTGTAAAATAAGACTAATAAAGAATAAGAGAGATGAATGATAGTGGACAAAAATGATATGACACATACAATATACATCTGGTTACCGCATATATTTAGATAAATACATATGAATATAATTGTATGATTATGATATAATTTTTTTTTTTTGAAAAGTTGTAATTATTGTATTTAGCTTGTATGTTTTGTTGTTATGTTATCATCGAATATTATTATTTAAGATTTTGTGAATAATAAAATCATGAATTATTTTCCAAAATATCTGTCTCTTTCTTTTATTAAATTTTTCTTTCGTTTATGAAACACACTATCATTCATACGCGTGACAAAAACGGAAGAACAGAAATAAAAATGAACAGAAAGTCAAAGATTAAACTATACAAAATACGACGTATGCTTATTTCAATCAAATATCATCACGACCACCATTATTGTCAAACAGGCGTGAACTCACCCCTCTTCCACCACCTTGACCACCTCTTGATGACGACTGAATAACTGCAGATGAAGCACCTGATCCAGCCGTTGAACCTGGTCCACCACTACCGACACGTTTATAAAATTGCCATAATTGTTGTATCAATTCCGTGACAACTAAATCACTTGAATTATAAGCAAGAAGTCTTAGTATAAGAACACCATCATGTTGTAAATAACGATGTATAAATTCTTTTGCTGGCATTCGTCGTAGATGTGTGTCACTTTGCATTAATTCAAGACGTTTTTTTATATAAGCATAACGTACACGACCAAACGAACGAACAAACCATGCTAATAAATCATATGTATTGCAAACAGTTAGAAAAGCTAACCAAAACCAAATAAATAGAAATGCTTTTTCATTAAATAAATTTATTGGTAATACGCACTAATATAAAAACAAAAATAAATTCAATTAAAATAAAAAAAAAATAATATTTTTTTTTTAAATTTCTTACTTGTACTGTATGAACATGTACATTTTGTATATTACGTACGGCAAATTCACAAATGGTTACACGTGGAAAATAAATTGATTCAGTAAGTTCTTCTCCATTTAAGATTTTTTTAACTAATTCAACACCATACGAAGCAAAATTGTGACCCAAAAAGATATTTAATAAAAATAATTGTCCAAGAGAATTTGCGATGAAGAGAAGTTTGGTGACGAAAAATAGAATTAACAAATATGAACCCATACGACGTCCGGGTACACAAAGCATAAATGCTAGAAAACGACGTATAAAGTCAAAACGTTTTCGTTTTCGTTTACGCATATAAACATACTGATCTATAGATCGTGTCAAGTAAGTCATAATTTTATTTCGATCTTCAAAACGATCGGCTGTTTGATAATTTAATGCTGCGTCGACTAGATTAACTATATTAATTCCTGATTTAGCTGATAAAGAACGCCACAACATTCGTGGCATATAGAATAGGACTGCTTGGAAGAGTAATATAAATGGAGTCCACTGATAATACTATAATTAAGAAAAAATAGACACATAATTAGAAATCAAAACAAAAAAACAAAAAATTTTTTTTTTTTATGATGATTTTTACCTTTACAACACGGGTTTTTTTCTTTGTTTCGTCTAAAGGTAATGTCTCAGCAGCAGCAACATAATATGTATTTGATACCCAACATATATTATTAGAGTATACTTCGTAGGAACGTGTAAAATGTCCGGGTACCCAACAAGCAATATGGTCGGATGAGAATTGTTTATTTGAAACAATAATTGAGAATATGACTAAAATAATAACTGTGTACTTATAATTTAAACGATCGACTGTACATGTATCACTACGATGAGGTCCGAGTACCGAAAAAGGTAACCGTGATACTGTAGCAAATAAGTCCATGATAATATTCTTTAATCAATAACCTAATTAAACAATGACAACATTTGGATGCCATGCGTAGACGACATGAACATAACATTGACATCGACGCAACAAACAAAAAAAAGAAAAATAAACGAATTTAAACAGGAATAATTATTCTAATGATTTATATAAACAATAATTGATGGTTTCTTCAATTGTCTCGATTATTAGCTGTATATAGACAAAAACCTAGATAAAAAGAAACAAAAAGAAAACTCGATTGACAAATATGTCGGTCTATCATTCAAGCGAATGATTATCTTTGGCAATCTATTGCTA